TTTTGAATTTACAAGAACAAAATGAGTATGAAATCAAACCTTCATTGATTAATGCTTTGCCAAAATTCCATGGCCTTGCAGGTGAGGATCCTAATAGGCATCTTCAAATACTTGAGAGGGTTTGTTCAACCATGAAGCCTCCCATAACAAACTTAGAGAATTTGATGCTCAAGGTCTTTTATTTTACTCTTGAGGACAAAGCAATCACATGATTCAATACTCTTGTCACAAGGACCATCAATTCTTGGGTGGAGATGCGAAATTGCTTTCTTGAAAAATATTTTCCAACAACCAAGTATTCTCAACTAAGGAAGAAAATCATGGGGATTCAACAACACCCTCAAGAATCTTTTTATGAGTATTAGATGAGGTTTCTTGAGTTGCTTGCAAAGTGTCCCTACCTAAATGTGGGCAAGGAGTTCCTCATTGATTATTTCCATTTAGGGCTACAAATTCATGATAGAGAGACCATAGATGCTACTGCAAATGGCTCTCTATTAGATCTTCCACCAGATGATGTATGGACTTTGTTGGAAAAGCTTGCAAACAATAACCAATAATATAGCTCAAGAGATACAAGGGGTGTTCACAAAGTGGGCCAATCTTCTATTGCTAATTCCCAATTGAAGGACATCTACTCTCAATTGAATTTTCTCAAGATGTCTATCTGCAATCCTCCACAAGCTCAAATTGCTTCTATGTTCAATGCTCTAGTGGCTCCTATTTGTGGTATATGCAATTCTACAATGCATGTCACCTCTAATTGCATGCATGCTCAAGATGTTGGGGCTGTGTATCAACAACAAAGGCCCTTCAATTATCAATATAATCAAGGGACAAGGAATAATTTTGAGGCTAACTATGGGAGTACCTATAACCCAACTTGGAGGTAGCACCTTAACTTTAGCTACAAGGGTAACCAAGAGGTTGTGCAAGCTAAGAATTCTCAAGTGATCCCTATTCAAGATGGTGGGGGTGATAAACAAATGTATTCCTACCTTGAGAGGATGGGTGATGCTATGTTTTCTATAGGCCAAAATGTTTGATTCTCATGTGTCTAGGGCAGAATAAAAAATGGACATAATGCTCAAGAGGCTAGATAATCTTGAATCAAAATAACAAAGCACTGATTTACTGGTGCAACAATTTGAAAATTCAAATAGCATTAGCCAAGCTCAAGGAACTAGAAAGCTCCTAACTCAACTTGCCATCAATCCAAAGAGCCTTAGTGCAATTGAGTTGAGTGGAAGAGTTCTTGAAGCCATTCCAAGTGCCTTAAACCATGGTAGCAGCATGCCTAATGAGGTTATTTCAAGGAATTCTCAAATTGGTGAAGGAAGCCCACTTTCTCTTGATTTTCCACGTGATTCCACTTGATGTGATAGCGAGATTAATATGCATCCAAGTGCCTCACACAGCCTCAAGAACACACCTCCTACCTTTCTAAGTCCTCAAGTGATTGATGATGAGGATGACTTTATTAAAGAGATTATAGTTGAGGATGCAAATAGGGTAAGATCAACCCTGAATGCTCAAGCAAAAGAGGTAAAATTGAGCTCAAATCAAGGCCAAGATAGCACTGGAACAGCCACGGTTCATCCTTCTTCTAAGGCAAATGAGAATGATTCAAACAAACCTAAGGAGAAAGAGGTGTTGGGAAGAAGAGAGCCTCCAAAAGAATATCAAATTAGGGACCCGATTCCAAGGGATATGCCATTTTCTAAGGCCTTGACTAAATTTTCTAAGAAGGGGCAAGAAGAAGATAGGTATGATGTGTTTGATATGTTGAAGAAGGTGGAAGTAAACATACCACTTCTTAAGATGATAAAAAGCATGCCTAAGTATGCAAAGTTTTTGAAGGAGTTGTGTACTAATAAAAGGGGATTCAAACCATTGGCTACAGTTCAAATGAGTCCTAATATTAGTGCTGTCTTCAAGCCACAACTCCCTCTTAAGTGTAAGATCCGGGGGCATGTACCATTCCTTGGCAAATAGGGAATGTGTTTGTTCAAGAAGCCTTAATTGACCTAGGGGCAGCCATCAATGTGATGCCCACTCACATTTATTCTTCCCTTAATCTTGGTAGTCTTCAAGATTGTAGTGTCATCTTGCAACTAGTTGATTGAAGCACTAGGAAGCCTAAGGGATTCTTGGAAGACATATTAGTGAAGGTTAAGGACTTGGTTTTTCCAGTAAATTTTTATGTGTTGGATATGCAAGAAGGAGGTCAAGGCACACTCATTCTTGGGAGACCTTTTATGATGACATCAAGTAACATATTGAACATGAAGGAAGGTAAACTTACCACAGAGTTTTTGGACAGCAAGATTGAATTTAATATATTTAATAGCTTGAAAAACTCTTATGTTGATTATAGCCTTCATTTTGTGGATTGCATTGATGATACACTTGATAGAATCATTGATGAGGTTTCTATACCCCTAGCTTGGATGATGTTGCATCTTTGCCTAGTTTCACTTGTTCATGCACTCATGACTCTATTTGTGTGAATTGCAATAACATAGTGTTATTTTTGTCTAATTTGAAATCTCAAGATGAATTGCATTCACTTGAGCATGAGCATTTGAATGGCAGCACACTTGAAATGCCTCACTCATCTACTTCCACTCCATTTGAAACACTTGTGTTATCTAATTCTTCACATGAACAAACATATGCTTCCTTGAGTGATTTGCCTGCATTAGATGAGTTTGATGATTTGAGTATCAATTCTGGAAATTCTATTGATTTAGTAATTGAATCAAGTGATGAGAGTGAAATTGCATCTAATGATGGCCTTAGTTTATCTTCCACATATCATATTGGATTACATCATTTGATTTCTTCTAGTGAATTTAATTCTGGAATTTTTGACAGCTTTGATCCTTTTGTGCCTAATCATTCTCCAAGGTTAGAGGAGTGTTTTACTTGTGATGTTTCAGGTTTAGGGACACTTGAAAAGCATGAACAAAGTGATTTTGAGGCTATTAATGAACCAAGGGGCATGCAAATTGGTGCTGGAAGTCCAAAATCAAATCTGACCAAAATGGGAATTAATTCTGGAGCAAGGAAATCAAATCTGGATGTGAGGCATAAAGTTGGAACCAAGCAAGTTGTGTTAGACAAAATGCATACAGCAGTTGTGAGAGCATTGGACATGCTACTTAAAGAGGAAGACATGGATCTAGCAAGGCAAATTCAAGTGCAAAAGATCCCTCCAAGCATCATTGAGCCACCCAATTTGGAGTTGAAGCCACTTCCTTCACATCTTAAGTATTTTTACTTAAGAAATGGTAATCAACTTCCTATTATTGTTTCTTTTTCACTAACCCCTATGGAAGAGTCTTTGTTGTGTGATGTTGTGAGGAAGAACATTGAGGCTATTGGATGGACCTTAGAGACATTCTTGGAATTAGCCCTCAAACTTGCACACATATGATCATGTTGGAGGACAATGCTAAGGCAATAAGGCAGCCATAGAAGAGGTTGAATCCTCTCATACTTGATGTGGTAAAGAAGGAGGTCACTAAACTTTTGAGTGCAAGTATAATCTATGAATGGGTGTCTTCGGTGTAAGTTGTGCCCAAGAAGAGTGGAATTACTGTGGTAAAGAATGAACATGATGAGTTGATTCCTACTAGGGTACAAAATAGTTAGAGGGTATGCATTGATTATAGGAGGTTGAATGAGACAACCAAGAAAGACCATTTCCCTCTCCCATTTATTGATCAAATGTTAGAAAGATTAGGGAAAAATCTCATTATTGCTTTCTTGATGGATATAGTGGTTATTTTCAGATTTTTATTGATCCAGTTGATTAACATAAAACCATTTTTACTTGTCCATTTGGTACCTTTACATATAGAAGAATACCTTTTGGATTGTGTAATGCTCCAGGGACCTTCTAAAGATGCATGTTTGGTATTTTTAGTGATTTTATTGAAAATTGTATGGAAGTGTTCATGGATGATTTCACAATTTATGGGGATTCTTATTCTTCTTGCTTGAGAAATCTTGACAAAGTCCTTGCTTGATGTGTAGAGAAGAACTTAGTTTTGAACTTTGAGAAGTGCCCTTTTATGGTTGAGAAAGGGATTGTCTTAGGCCACTTGGTTTCAAGCCATGGCATTAAGATGGATAGGGTCAAAATTGAAATGATTTCATCTCTAACCTATCCAACTAATGTCAAAGACTTGAGGTCTTTCCTTGGCCATGTGGGTTTTTATAGAAGATTTATTAAAAATATTTCAAAGATTGCACATCCCTTGTCTCAATTGCTTTAAAAAGATGTCAAATTTGAGTTCTCTCTAAGTTATAGAGATGCATTTGATGCTTTGAAGGTTAAGCTTGTTTCCCTTCCTATTTTAAGGAGTCTTAATTTGTTGATCCCATTTAAGATTGTGGTTTATATTGGCCATCTCTTTTTAAAGATGCACATCAATTTTACAAAGCATGTCATACATGTCAACATTTTGGGAGTTTGGGAAAGAGACATGAAATGCCACAGGTGCCTATTATATTTTGTAAGATCTTTGATGTTTGGGGTATGGATTTCATGGGTCCTTTTCCCTCTTCCAATGGTTATGAATATATATTGCTCTGTGTTGATTTTGTTTCTAGGTGGGTTGAGGCTATCCCCATTAGAACTAATAATGCCAAAGTTATGGCAAAGTTTCTTTTATCTCATGTGTTTTACAAGTTTGGCACCTCAAGAGATCACAGACCAAGGGACACACTTTTGCAACAAGACTATCTCTTCTTTGCTTTAGAAATATGGTGTTTTACACAAGGTGGCAACCCCATATCATCCTCAAACAAATGGGTTGGCCGAGTGTTCAAACAAGGAGGTCAAGTGTATCATCCAAAAGATTGTGAGACCGAATAGGAAGGATTGGAGCTCAAGACTTGAGGAGGCTCTTTGGGCATACTGGACCGCCTTCAAGACACCCATTAGGATGTCTCCATTTAGGTTGGTCTATGGTAAGCAATGTCACCTCCCGATGGAGATTGAGCACAAAGCCTATTGGGCAGTGAAGGCTTGTGCATTTGGTAAGGAGGGTGTAGCTGCCTCTAGGAAGCTCCAACTTCAAGAATTAGAGGAGTTAAGATTGGAAGCATACGAGAGCTCTAAATTGTACAAGGTAGAGTAAAATTCATTCATGACAAATGTATTTTGAGGAAGCATTTTCAAGTGGGAGATAAAGTGCTTAAGTTCAAGACAAGGCTCAAGCTCAAGCTCATTGGTGGCAAACTTCAATCCAAATGGGAGGGATCTTACATTGTGGAGGAAATTTTTGACTATGGCACTCTCATCCTGAAAGATCCTCAAAGTGGATTAACATTCAAGGCAAATGGCCACTTGTGCAAGAAATTTCATGAGGATGAATCTTCGACATTGCTTATTGAAATGAGATTCAAAGATCCTCCATGAGTCTTCAAAGGTTGTATCTCTCCTTCTTATCTCTTTTTGATTGATTTAATTGATTCACAAAGCACACAAGCAGAGCACTAATTGGGATATGCTTGCTGTCACATATGCACACATGTGGTACACCATTCTTTACTTGTGTTTGTGTTGTGTTTGTGAATATCATTTTGAGTTCATGTGTGGGGGGAGATACAACCTGATTCATTAGGTTTTGAAAAAAAAAGCCAAAAATTTGAAATTCCTTTTCCTTTGTTATGTTAGTTTTTTGTTGTTTCTTTATTTTCCTTTATTTCCTTGCTGTTTAGTGTTTTCAAAAAAAAATTGCCCTTTTTCCATACTTTTACATGCTGTACAGATTTGATTTAATTCTTCCCATTATGTGTTTTGCATGCATTAGGGACAATGCATTGTTTAAGTTTAGGGGAAAGGTTGTTTTTGAAAAAAAAAACTTTGTTTTGTGAGTAATCTTGAGTTTTGAAGATGATCATAGTTTTTGCATTTGAAGTTTGAACTTTTGAGATGTTTCTTTCTTTAGTTTAAATCCGTTTTGAAGCAAGAAACTATTTGGTTGAGTGTAATTGATTAAGAGAAGCAAGAATAAACCATATGAAAGGGGCCTTCAACCATTGAGAGTTCTATGTTCTTTAGTTTTGTTAATCCTTTAGAACTTGTTTTCTCTCTTACTTGAGGCTACACTTTGTGCATTGGTTGTAGGGAAAGTGATTATAGCCATCATTAAAGTGCCCAAGATCTTTTAGCTAACCCTTAATTACTTGATCATCCCTTGTTTAGCCAAATAGAGCCTCCTTTGGTTTTGTCATTCTTAAACACTTGACTATATTTTGGATAGATTGCATGTATTTTCATTTAGTATGTTTTAATGTGCATTGACTATTTTTAATTAAACTAGTAGATAACATCTAGTGGGATCCATTTCATTTATTCATATTGGCCATACCATTTCATTCTTATGATTGAAGAACATTTCTTGAGTTGTACCCAAATGTTGGAAGCTATGCTTGAAAAAAAAGGAGAACAAACAGCAAGAGAAAAACAAAACAAAGAAAGAAAGTGATACAAAAGGAAAAAGAAAAAGATTGTAGAAAGAAAGAAAAAAGAAATATGTTTGAGAAAAAGAGATCCAAAGTGGATCAAAGAAAAGCAAAAGTAAGAGTTTGAATAAGCAAGTTTCCTGGGGTTTGCTATTTAATTCATTTGTTCCTATTTATAGATTCTCATTTCATCTCAATCTTAGCCATTTAGTCATTCCATCCATGATCTCTCTTATGTTATCTATTTGGTTTAGTTTTGAGTAGTCTTGTATATTGAATATACCTACATTGTGGCCAAGACAAGTTTCTTAACCCAATTCCTACCCCTTTCACATGTAAGTCTAAGTGTACCCTTGATTGAGCACATTACATCCTTTTGAAAGTCCATATGATTCTTGAGAACCTTTGCATGTTAGTAATGGAGAGATAGAGGGATTACAAGCCTATGGTAGGATGACTTGCCAAGGAACTTGAGTGATATTTGTACCCTTATACACTAAGTGCTAGAGTGAAACACTAATTCGATGAGGTTTCTCTTTGATATTACATTCTTGCAAATGGTTTACTTGTGATGTATTAAGGTTTTCTCTAAATATTGCAACATTGATTTGGTTCTTGTGATAGTGCATTGACTTTGAAAATTGAATTTACTCTTGAGAGCTTGTATCTTTGTATTGTTTTCTAGTCTAGGTTTTTAGAGAGTTTTGCTCGGAGAGCAAAATCCAAGCGTGGGGGAATTGATCTACTTCATATTCCACATATTATACACTTGGTTTTTGGCACCAAATAGTACGTATTAGGGTTTGTCTCTCAGTTTTTAGCTGTTTCACATATTGACTATATAGACCCTAATAATGCTATTTGGTGGATGGTTTGAGACTTTAAGATGCTTGATTGGATTTTTGGGCTTAAATTCTCATTTTCTTCCTTTTTAATTGTATTTTTAGAATTTCTTTAATCCTGTGTTTTTATTTTCAGATTTGTGTCAGGGTAATTTTGAAATCAAGGAGCAAAGACTTGGTCAAAAATTTTGGAGAAGTCAAGAGCACATGTATAATCTGATCCATGGAATTCATAGGATGACATCATCATTGGAAACAAGGAAGTGATGTTGTGCATGAAGTGGAAGCTGAACATTAGGATGACATCATGATGAGGCAAGTCAAGAGCATAATAGGCGTGAATTCACATCTGGATTCATGAGAGTTCACGTGGCAGCTGAAGCAATATTCAAATGAAGTCACATGGTCCATGCTCAGTCACATTGTTCATGCTCTCATCTCCAGCTCATTTGGTGACTCATTCCCTCTAATTTTCAGAATTAACTCTTCAATTTTAATTCATTATTTTCCAGCTGGAATAACTGATTCAGTTCTTGGCCTTAGAATCATCACCATTGGATCAGAATTGGTTACACATACTTAAGCCAAATTTCCAAATTGAGACCTCATTCTACAGATTGCACTCTCTCTCTTGGTCTGAATTCTCTCTCAATTCTCTCAACTCCATCCTCAATTTTCATGCCATTCCTCAAGTATTGGGAATTCTAGATCTGGTTCTTCTCCATTTCTAGCTCCAAGTTTGTGTTCTTACATCAATTCCTCATCCAATTTCATTTTTCTTCCAGCCTTTGTTCAGATTGTTCATCATATGTTCATGCTCAATTCCATCATTCTAGATTTGTTTCTTCACTTCCTTTATCATTTTTCTTGAATTTTTGTTCTTGTTCTTCCTTTGTCCAGACTTGTTTCTTATCTCTCCTCTTTGATTCTTCCACCTCATGTCATTCTCTTCCCCATTCTTCATCAATTTCATTCTACATCTTCCAATTCCAGTATTAATTTCATCCATATTCAGTCACATATTTTCCAAATTCAAGATGTCTTCTCAAGTTCAAAGTCTGATTGGTTTGAAAATGAAGAACATGAGAGGCCGATTTTCCATTGAGCTTTATGGAAGATGAACTTGTGATTTGAGCATTTTAGAATTGCCTTCCTTTTTTGTAATTTCAATTCTGCAATTTCTTCTATTTTCTTTCAAGGATTCAAAATTATTGTTCAGGTTGGATTGTGATTTTGATTCTAATTACATGTTAGATTGAAGTTGTGGATCAAATTGATATTTGATTTTGTATTTCAGTTCTGGAATGTATGAATTCAATTGAGTGTTCTTGAATGTGTTCATATATTCTTAATGTTTTTGTTCAGATTTCTCCACATTTCAAGCTAGATCCATATGTGTTTATATGAATTTAGTTTGAGAAGTTTTTCTGCCATTTAATTTGTTTTGAATTGAATGGCTATGAAAAAGGCTGGTTTACATTGTTAATTTCACTCCACTTGGCTTTAAATTCATAATGATCATTGGATGCAATGTTTCACAATACTTTAAAAGTTTTAGAGTGTTCTTCATTGAGCTAATTGTCATTACATGTGTAGTTGCAATTCCGAAATTCAAGGATTATCATAGGGGATTCTAACTTGAGCTCATCATCTCATTCATTTACATCAACACATTCAAATCAAAAAATTACAAACATCTAATTCCTAGCAATTTAGATAGTAGTAGAATCATATCACCACTCTTTTAATTTGTAGGCAATTGAACCCTAGTTTGTGTGCATTGTTCTCTTGGGAGATGACCTAGAATGCTCATAACTACATTCTAGTTTTATTTGATGGCCTAAAGCAACTTAGGGTTTCATCAACCATCAAAGCTGACATGTCCATGTCAACAAGTCTTTTTAGGCCATTAGAATGAAGTGACCAAAGGCTTGGCTTAATTTTACAACCTCATTAGTAGGGAATGGTACTATCACATGAGGCTCAAGAACAACCTCAACCGACAACTTGACTTGATCATCCAGAATAATGATATGATGGATTATTTTCCCAAGCATGTATACTCAAGCTATAACAACAACTCACTTCATGGGCTTATCCAAATAAAGAAAATAAGGAGTTTCATCATCTACTGAGGGACTAAATTCATGCGCTACTGTCTCCAGTGGATTATAACTATCTTTCATGCTTTGAAGCATAGGAGAAGTTTGGAGAAATAAATAAAAAGGTTAAACATAAAATAGGAAAAATAGACAAGACTGAATATTTAACTAATTGACAAACTTGAGGTCCTTGCTGCTCAGTTTTCTGTGCAGTTCCCATGTTGGAGACCATGGATTTGAACTCTTGAAGTAGCTACTTATGAAATAAACATGATCCTATTCATACTTTTAATTAACCTTATTTAGAATCTCATCAAGCTCAGCTCTAGATATAACTCCTGATCTTTATGCTGTTAGTTTGAAGCACTGCTTCAAGCCGACCCCTTTTCCTACCCCTCTAACACAGCTAGGATAATCTAGAGTTCCAATTGCTATTGCTAAGATATCCATTCTTCTAGTAGATTGAAATGAACTTGGGAAGATTGTTCCTTAAGTGAATCCTATAATATACAAGTAATGAAAAGCACATAATCTAAAATTCAATTTCATTCATTTAGTATAATTACTCACAATCCTTGCAGCAACTTTAGCAGTCTCTAAAGTGATATACTGGCCTTTCTTTATTCTTGCCTCCTTCAATTTTCTTTGACGAGTTGGAGGAGGCAGGGGATTAACAACAATACTAGGGTCTGATCTTGTAGCTTTCTCTAATTCCTTCAAATTGGCTTCTATAAACTTTTTGCCTAGCTTCTGATATCCCCCTAGGACAACTAATGTTGATATTTATTCTTAGATTGTCTCTCTTTATTCAGTGCTCTTAATTTCTATGATTAAATTTTGACAAAGTCAAATGTAGATTAAAAATAAATACATTGAGTCAATGATTGACTCTATCAAAATTTACCTGAAATTTAGGATCTTCCCATGATCTCACAAATTGTATCCAAGTCTCTTGATCAATAAAATTATACTCTAAACATAGATCCTCATTCTTCTTCTCTCCTTGA